GGGGGGGGGGGGGGGGGGCCAGCGGTGACAGGCAGCCCCGCCGGCGCGTTCTCCTTGACGGCTGCACCCATCCTCAGGTACATGGGCGACTACCCCTCTCGGAAGGCCTGGACCTCCCTGGAGCTTACCGACCAGATCTTCTCGGCGGCCCTGCAGCAGGCGGCCCTGCAGGATGAGGTTTACTGCCAGATCCTGAAGCAGCTGACGCACAACACCAACAGGTCTGCGGGGACCAGGGAGGGGCAGAGGGCACCGCACGCGCGGGTTGCCATGCCCAGGGTCCCCTCAGGCCTCGCCCCAGCCCCCGAGGCTGTGTCCACTGTTCAGAGGGGGTGGCGGCCCCTCATAGAGGCGACACTCGCAGTAACGGTGGGAAGGTTGGGACCCGGTGTGTCCCTGACTTCCTGGGCTGGCCAGAGGCGGGGGCGGGGATGCAGACCTGCCCTGGGCCCTGCCTCTCCCCCTCTCTCCTTTGTCTCCTGGGCAGGCCCTAGCCTCTCTAAACCTCAGTGCCCTACTCCACAAAATGGGCACAATAGCACCCCCTCCCCTTCTCGTGGACAGGGAAGCCTTGGTGGCATTGGCAGCAGGGCAGCAGCTGCCTTGCCCAGGGCCTCAGGCAGGCCTCAGCTTATAGCATAAATCCTACAAAGCCCCATCTCCCCGAGGTGCCTGGCTGGCCTGGGCTTCTGGGAGGGGGCCCCTCCTGGGCTGACCAGCACTTCCATCTGCAGGCACAGCGAGGAGCGGGGCTGGCAGCTGCTGTGGCTCTGCACCGGCCTCTTCCCACCTGGCAAGGCACTGCTGCCCCACGCCCAGAAATTCATAGACACGCGGAGAAGGAAGGTGCTGGCCCCCGACTGCAGCCGCCGCATCCAGAGGGTCCTGAGGTGAGCCTGACAGCTCCTAGGCCCCTGGGAATGTCGGCTTGGGGATGCCGGGGGGCTCCGCCGGCCCTCCAGGAGCTCATGGTCCAGTGGGGACACCCGCCAGTGGAGCCAGACTTGGCTTCCTTTCTAGAAGTTGGTGTCAGTTTGAGGAGGCGGGACCAGGTCCCAGCAGCCGGGAGGAAGATGCAGGGTGAGGCCCCAGAGGGTTGCAGGGCAGCCAGGCTGGTCAGTGGAGGTTTCTGGCCATGAGCTCCTCCTGCCCCCATGGCTGCCTGTCCAGGGCAGAGAAGGAACTACCCTGAGGCCAGAGGATGACCTTGATGTCCCCAGCCACCTGTGTGTCCCCCTAGCCCAGCCCACAGTAGTTGAGCTCAGACCCATCCCTGCCAGCCCGTCCTGCAGTTCCTCCCCGGCTCTGCCTGCCCTCCAGCCCTGGCTTGGTCTCCTGTGTCTGTGCGAGAGGGTGGGGTGACCTGGTGAGCAGACGTGACAGTGAGTGGCAGCCTGGGTCGCAGTGGGGAAGGTGGGTGTCCCCATCCCCAACCCCCTGCCCAACTGTGTGGGAATGAGAACACGACCCACCCTGCCTACTGGTGCTGGGCCCAGGACCCCTAGCCAGCCTGGGTCCCCTCCCCACGTGTGTCCTCAGAACCTCGAGGCACCTGGGAGTGAGGCCAGGCTGGCCCCTGCTGCCTCCTCTAGGCCACATGCCCAGCACCGCAGGCAGGGCAGCCCCCCAGAACGGCGGTGGTCTCGGGGTTGGCTTTTGTTTTGTACCTGGCACAGAGCTTAGCTTAGAGGCTGGGGACGGGCTGGGCCCAGGTGAGGGTGTCGGGTGGCATGTGCAGCGCGTGCACTGTCTGCTCCAGGACGGGGCCCCGGAAGCAGCCCCCGCACCAGGTGGAGGTGGAGGCCATGGAGCAGAACGTCTCCCGCATGTGCCACAAGATCTGCTTGCCCAACAACACGAGCGAGGTGAGGCCCTGCACCCCCCGGGGACCCGCAGCCGGAGCAAGGTCCCTCCCCACGGGGGTCACCCGAGGAGAGCCGGGAGACACCACCCGACACGGCTGTTTCCAATATAGGGTGGATGGTCTCCCCTTCAGCGCTCTCCTAGCCCTGCCCCGTCTCCCCCAAAACTACCATTTCCCCCCACCCCGGTCCCCATGAGCATGAACTGAGTGCTGGGCGCCCTCAGGTGCTCCGGGCCACACAGGGGAGGGATGGGCCCCGGGGAGGCTGGAGTGCTGTCGGGAGTCCAGACGTCCCAAAGGTGTCGGGGCATTCCAGGCTGGGCACAAGGGAGAAGAGGCCACAGGGCTGGGGGCCCCTTGGGCTTCCGACCCGGCCCCGGGACATGGTGAGCAAGGGCCGCCATGGGGTGCCTGCGGACAAAACCCAGTCGGCCTCTGGGGACAGCGGAGGGGACAGGTGGGAGGCGGGAGACCCTCGGCCAAGGGGCAGCAGTGGAGCGAGGGGGCCCTCACAGCCCTCCCCAAGCGGACTGTGGCCTTGACAAAGTTCCCACAGTCTGGCGGCAGGCTCTCAGAGCAAGTTCAAAAGGCTGGGACTCTTGGGACCCCAAGACAGCGAGCCCTGTGACCAAACAGCGCACACATCCGGCCAGGTTTCCAGAGGGGGAGTCTTGCCCTTCTCAGGACAGGGCAGGCGCGACCCCAGCCCCAGTCATCAGGCTGTTGAGGGTCACCCCGGGCCGAGCCGCGTCCTGAGACGTTCCCCTGCCCCCTCTCTGCCCAGATGGTGGAGGTGGGCACCAACACCCGGGTGCGGGAGGTGTGCGACAGCATCGCCGCCCGGCTACAGCTCGCCTCCTGGGAGGGCTGCAGCCTCTTCATCAAGATCGCGGACAAGGTGCGCGGCCCAGCAGGCCAGGGGCCAGGAGGGAGGGAGGGCGGGCGGGCGGGGGTCTCCCACGTGCGCTGGGCCAGGCCCCCCGCGCTGCACACAGGGTGAAGGGACGTTGGCAGGAGGGGTCGGAGCCCCAGTGCGGCACCTAGCCTCCCAGGCCAGAGATGGGTCCCTGGATGCCGCACACGCACACCTGCATGCCTCCCTGTGCCCTCCTCTCCACCCGCCCCAGGTCATCAGCCAGAAGGAGGGAGACTTCTTCTTTGACTCCTTGAGGCAGGTGGCCGACTGGGTGAAGAAGAACAAGCCCCAGAAGGAAGGTGAGGGGAGGGCTCTGTGGGGCAGGCTGCGGCCAGGAAGGAGGGGAGGGGCCGGGAAGTAGGGGTGGGGCCGGCAAGGAGGGGAGGGGCGGGCAAGGAGGGTTCCTATCTTCACTCCACCCATATTCCTCCTCTAACCCTGAGATTTTTGCACGGATTTTTCAGGGGTTCGAAGAGAGCGCCTCTGAAAGTCACCTCAGGCAAATCGTTCGGGGAAGGGGCGTTGCAGGGATGTAAGGCGGGGCAGGGCTTGTCTGCCTCCTGGGCCAGGGTCAGGGGGCTCCCCGGGCCACTCCTGCATGGCTATGCCCATTCATTTATTCATTTATTCTCATTCCCCTTCATGTTCCCTGGGTCATGGGTAGGCCAAGCCTGGGGCCAGGCGGTCAGGCCCTGCCCCTGGAGCTCTCCCAACTCCGGCAGGGGCCGGGCATGCGGCAGGCCTAGAGCACATGGCGGGACTGCGGGGTGATGGAGGGTGCATGAGGGCAGAGAGGGCGGAGTGGGGCCTGACCCCACGGGGAGATCCGCGAATGCTGCTGGAAGAGGGGGCTTCCACACTCATCTCGAGGGATGAGGAAGAGCTGGGGCCAGGGAGGAAGAGGCGCGGAGGCTGTCCAGCTGGGGAGGCCGCAGTAACAAACACAGTGGTGATGCGAGGGGCCAAGGGGCAGGGTGTGGGGGTGGGCGGGCAGCGCCCCGGGCCTGCTGGGCCAGGGACAGGCTTGGTGCTCACTGCCGCCCCTATCCAGGGGCCGCTGTGACGCTCTCCTACCAGGTGTACTTCATGCGGAAATTGTGGCTCAGTGTGGCCCCAGGGAGAGATGTGAAGGCAGACACCATACTCCATTACCATCAGGTACACGGGCCACCCCTCCTGGTGGGCGTTGGGGCCACCCTCGCTCCAGCCCACACCTGCCCTGAGAGTGGAGCATGGCCGCCTCGCCCCTGGGCACCCAGCTCCCACCCAGGGCCTCACGGTGGGCCGGCCGCACCCCTGAGGGTTCTGGAGCTAGGAGCAGAGGGACAGCGGTGTCTGGAGACAGCAGCCGCACCGCGGCCGCACCATCACCTGCAGCATGCCTGCGTGCCGGGGCGGGGAGGCGCGCAGAGGGTCCTGCAGCCCGTGGAGCACTGGCCCTTGCCCTGAAGGGGTAGAGCAGGCCTCGGCCTCCATGGCGAGACTGCAGGGAGCCCTGCCTCCACTCAGCGGCCTTCCCTCTGCTGGACACCTTACCCTGATGACCTTAGCTTTTTGCGGGCTCAGTTTCCTGGATGGGGGCAGGCTACCACATGAGCATGAAGCCGGGCGTGGCTGCAGCCTAAAGTCCAGCTTGTCCTTCACCCAGGAGCTGCCCAAGTACCTGCGTGGGTTCCACAAGTGCTCGCAGGAGGATGCCGTCCACCTGGCAGGCCTCATCTACAAGGCCCAGTTTGGCAATGACCGGTCCCAGCTAGCTAGCATGCCCAAGGTCCTGAGGGAACTCGTGCCTGAGAACCTCACACGTGTGATGTCCTCAGAGGAATGGAAGAAGGTCTTTGGCAGGGGCTGGGGAGGGGCCCCTTGGCTGCTGCCCCCACAGGGACCCCGCCCAGGTGCCACCGTGGGGGGTGGCCTGGGTCCGCTGTAGCACCTTCCCCGCGCTGTCCACGGCCTCAGGCAGCAGCTGCCGCTCTGGGCCAGGACCCCAGGGCCTTGTGTGATAGCCCGGTTGGGCAGTGGCCTCCACTCAGGCCCTCACTAGCCCTTGCTTCCCCCAGCGCATCCTCCTGGCCTGTGACAAGCACAGGGACATGACAGTGGAGGAGGCCAAGGTGGCCTTCCTGAAGTGGATCTGCCGGTGGCCCACCTTCGGGTCTGCCTTCTTCGAGGTGAAGGTAGGCCGCACCCCCAGCCTGGCCATCCTGGCCACGCAGGCCCCGCCCGGCTCTGGCCCCAGTAGCCTGAGCTTCTCCCCCAAACACGCCACGGGCAGGGCCAGCAGCCAGGCCTGGGGGAGCAAGCGTGCACGTGTGTGCGTGCGTGCGTCTTGGGGAGGAGCCGCCTGGCCTCCCAGGCTGGGCTGTGATCACTGTGACCCCCCCTCCCTCCCCAGCAAACCTCGGAGCCCTCCTACCCGGACATCATCCTCATCGCCATCAACCGGCACGGGGTTGTGCTCATCCACCCCAAGACCAAGGTAGTGGCAGGACCCCGGGGACTGCGCCAGGGTCCTGGGGCCCCTGCGCAGCTGGGGCTGCCCTCCTGGCCTCCTACACATGGCCCCTTGGGCTCTGGAGGACCCCGGGCAGCAGCTCAGACTCAGGGCCCCTGGGCCGTCTGGGCTTTGATTGGCTCCTACCCACCACCCACTGTGCCCCCAGGACCTGCTCACCACCTACCCCTTCACCAAGATTGCCAGCTGGAGCAGCGGCAGTACTTACTTCCACATGGTGCTGGGGAGCCTGGGCCGGGGCAGCCGCCTGCTGTGTGAGACCTCTCTGGTGAGCCCGAGGCCCGGGGGGCTTCTCCCAGCCCAGACACGAGGGACCCAGAGGCTCCGGACACTGGGTTTCCCCGACCCTGACCCAACCCCCTGGCCACCAGGCGAGTGGCTCCCTGGGAGGACGTGGCCCCCATGCCTGGGGTGGGCAGGCCAGGCTGGGCCAGCAGAGGAAGGAGGTGCAGCTCAGGAAGGGCTGGGCATGTCACCCAGGGGGGCAACAAGGCCTGGCAGGGTGGCCTGTGGTCCCAGGGAGGGAAGGGGACTGGGGGCCCAGCTGCAGGAGCCCTGTTTCTCTCCTCACGCCCTGCCCGGTGTGTCACTGAGGCAGAGGTTGGGCCCCGCAGGCGCTGGCATAGGCCCCACTTAGCTGTACCCCTCAGACTCCGACCCCACCCTTCCCCCCATCCAGGGTTACAAGATGGATGACCTGCTGACCTCGTACGTGCAGCAGCTGCTGAGCACCGTGAACAAGCAGCGGGACCCCCGGACCTCAGTCCCAGCCAGTCCCTAGCAGCAGGGGCCTCTTGCCCATTCAGCCACCCTCCGCAATCGGGGGGTCCTGGTGGCACTTCCCGAGGGCCCCTCTCTGGGCCCAAGGCCTGCCCTCTGGTGGCAGCCTTTCAAGTCACCCTCTCCCCAGAACCCCCAGCACTACCACCCTGTGGCACCCCAGGGGCCCCCTCCCCCGGGTGCTGACGCTGAGGGCCGAAGGGCAGGGCTGGGACTGGCAGACCTCCAGGCCGACGGACGGATGGCGGGGAGGACTCCCCCAAGGAATGTTCAATAAAAGTTCCACAGAGCAGTGGGGAGTGTGTCAGCGAGAGACGAGGCTCAGGTTGGGGCTCGGGTGGGCAGGAGGTCCAGCAAAGGGTTCCCTCCAGAGAAAGCAAAAAGCACTGCGGCCCGTCCAGGCCCAGCGGAGGGCAGCTCCGTCCTCAGGGCGTGACTTCCTTCATGTCTCTCTCCTCCCTTTCCTTCCACCCACCCCCGCTTCCTCCTCCTCAGACTGCGGAGATGCTTTCCATGGGCCCCTCTGCACACCTTTCCTCTTTCCCCGGCCCGGCACCGGACACGGGCTGCCTCCAGGAGGGTCTGCTGGAGGTGGCCGCTGGCTTTGCTGCCCCAAGGGCAGAGCTGCACGCGGGGCCTCGGAGCCTGGGCTGGGCGCCCACGGCCCCCGCCAGCCCTGTCAGAGCCTGTCCCCCGACTCCACCCACCGGGCCAACCTTCAAGGACTGAGGGTCTCTGTCGGCAGCCTGGCCCTGGGACACCTGTCCGGTCTGGCATCTGTCTCCCTAACCCTGCGGCAGCGTGTCCACCGCAATGTCACAAACCACGCAAGTGCTGGGGTCGTGTAGAGAAGCCTTCATTGGTTGTGCAAGTGTGAGTCCCAATACCAAGGTCCCACGCTGTCCTCCCCGGAGGGCAGGAACGAGCCGCCCAGCAGAGCCCACCACCTCCTGGCCCCAGGCTGCACCGGGGAGTCAGCGTGTGCCCTGGCAGCGGGGCGAGCGGGGGCCCTCCTGCTGCTGCGTGGGCTGAAGAAGCAGGACCAGCCAGCCGGGCCTGGGCACGGGGCTCCTGCTTGGCTGAGCGCGTGCGTGGTCGGGGGACTGCAGGGTGGTTCCCCAGGGGCGCCCACCCACATGGCCCTGGGGTCCGGGTGGCCTCCTGGCTGTGGGCTACACCCGTGCCACGGAGGGCGGAGGCTGGCCAAGCTGCCACAGAATGTGAGCCACGAGGCCTCCTGCAGGGATGGGACAGGTCAGGACAGGCCGGCCCGGGTGACCCTGGAAGACCTCGGGCTGAAGCTGTGGACGCGGACGTGTCACAGGCTTGCCACGCCCAGGCCCCTGCCCCGTGGCCTCTGGCCGCGTGGAAGGAGGGAGGGGAGGGACGGGACGCCTTGGGCGGGAGGACGATGCTGAGCGGAGAGACGGGCAGGGAGAAGGCGCAGGCTCGGGCAGGGGGGGCGGGCAGCGAAGCCGGGGGGAGCAGGAGGACGATGGCGGGCGGCGGGCGGCGGGCGGGCCTCTCAGGCGGGCTGCAGGCCCGCGGACTTGGGCTGCGCCCTGCGGGCTGCCAGCTCCGACAGCTTCTTCAGCCGCTTCTTCAGCTCCAGCGGGAACTTCTCGTAGCACCTCTTACACACGGGCTTCATGTCGAACTCCACGAACTTGTTCCTGCGGAGGAGGGGCAGCGGCCAGGAGAGCCGGGGTCTCCTCGGACCCCCGGCCCGGAGCCCACCACCTCCCCTACCCCGGCCTGTCCCCCCCACCAGCCGGCCAGGTCCGGGGGGCGCCTTCTGGCCGGATGCCGTGGGAGACGAGGAGACGGGCCTCCAGGCCTCCATTTGTGCCTAGAGACTTCTGTGGAGTGCTGAAACTCCAGAACCTTCCCTCTTGTCCTCAGACGCCGGGCCGCACCTCACCTCACCTCACCGCTCCAGCTGTCCTTCCCCCTCTCAGCCTCCTAGGTGAGGTCTGGCTCCCTTGGTTCTGAGCGTGCTTCCTGCTCCCTGAGCCGGAGTGTCCTTCCCTCCCCAGGGACCGGCGCCCTTCCGAGTGCGGAGGCTCGTGTGACTCTTCCTCCCACCATGCCCTGGGGGGTCCCTGGACCTGCCTTCTCGGGGCTGGGGCTGCCCCTGCTCCCACTGCACCCCCGGGGCCTGATAACAGTGGGCGTTCAGGGAGGGTGCGATGAAGGGAAGAGCCCATGGCAAGCCGACTCCAACGTGAGCCCCTGGCGGGCTCCAGGGGGAAGGAGGGGGACGCCCTGCAGGTCTCCGCCCCCCTCAGCCCCTGGGAGCCAGCACGACTTACTTCAGGGTGAGCCGGCTGTTGCAGGTAGAACAGGAAAAGCAGTGCACACACCAGGCCTTGTTGAGGGCCGACACCACTGTGAGGGGCAGATGGGGGCTTAGCGGCACCCCCAGGCCAGCCACAGGCCCAGCTGTGCACACGGAGGGCCAGCTGGGCACACAGCTGCGGGACCCACAGCCCAGAGAGCACGGGGGAACGGGGCCTGGGGCGGGAAGGTGCACAGGGACAGGGGCCTTACCATCGCCCTCGATCACGTGGCTGCAGGTGTAGCAGACGTCCCCAAAGAGCTGTGGACAGAGCGGGTGTTAAACACGCTGCAGGCATTTGTGCCCCAAGCCCGGAGCTGGGGTGTGGCCCCACCCACCCCCCAAAGGGCAGCTCTCATCAGCCACCTGGGCCTCCTGCCAGGGCACAGCCTCAGGCCTGAGGGCCCATCAGAACTACCCCCTGGGAAAGACAGCAGGTGGAGGCATTGCTCCCCCTAAGGCCCCTTTGCTCCCGTCCGTGTCCTGAGAAGTGTGGGCAAGGCAGTAACCCTGTCTTCTGTGCCAGAACAGCTGGGCAGCTTCGCCAGGCCTGGCAGAGGGGAGGAGATGGTAGTATATGTCACCCCAAGAGCCCAGGACTTAACACTGCCATCTCATTCAGTGCCCGGGGCAGGCCTGGGCCACAAGGCACGTTTCTCAAATGGGGACGCTGAGGCCCAGAGGGCTGCCCCGGTCCCGAGACGCTGAGCTCACAGGCCTGGCCTCAGCACCCACGGCGGGGCCGCCCCATGCCCTCTCCTACCACGCACACAGCCGCCTTCCCAGCCCGCGCCCTGCCGGCTCCCCGCAGCTCCCGCCTCCCCTGTCTCGGGCCCTACCTGGTTGTAGTGGGTCTCACAGTAGGCCAGGCCCTTCTTCTCATAGTGCCGGTGCCCCAGGAATGGCTTCTCACACTTGGCGCAGACAAAGTGCTGGGGTGGGGGTGGGGGTGGGGGGTGCAGGGAGGGCAGCGTCAGGCCTGAAGCGACCTCCCATCACACAGCCAGGAAGCGGAGGCTGGTGGGTGGGGGGCCTCGCTGGGCTGACACCTCCACGGACTGCTCCTGGTCAGCAGACCCCACTCCTTCCCTGATGCCCGGTGGCGCTGCATCCTCCCCAGGCCCACGGGGCACCCTCGGCCCCCGTGTCGGGGCCGGCGAGGTGCCCGGGCCGTGGCGGGCTGCACCGTCTGCCTCTGGTGCGCAACTCTACAGGCCGAGAGTCACCGGGCACACCTTCCACCCGTGGAGGCTGTGGCGTGTGAGGATTCACCCTCCCCCGGGGGGCCGGGGGCCGTGCCAGGACCCTCGCCAAGAGGCCGCCCACGGCAGAGACTGTGGGACACAGAGCTGGCCCGGTCACAGGCTTGCACGCCTCCCTGCCAAGTGGTGTCCCTAAGGCCATCAGAGCCCCCGGTGCAGGGGTGAGTGTTCCCGGACAGCCAGTCGGACGCACCTGAGCACTTCGCCTGCAGGTGGGCCGGACACGCAGCCACTTTCGTCAACCGCAATCCCACAGGGCACCCCGGCCCAGTGTCCCCAAGGTGTTCTCATGACTTTGGAATCCTCTAGAAGGCCAGGATGGGGAGGGAGGGAGGGGGTGTGCCTGCCCAGCCATGGCCTGTGGGCTCAAGTCTGCTGGGTCCCATGGACAGACCTGTCCCAGACCAGGGGTGAGGAGGGATAGCACCCACAAGGAAGGTCCCCGCTGGGAGCCAGCCACATGGCCTGGGGGCTGGAGGGCGTGTGGAGGGGCTTCGGGGCCAGACTGGCTGGGGACGGGAGCCGGGGCGCCCACCTGCTGTCCGGTCTGGCCTCGCTCACCTCCACGTGCCACTGCTTGCCCAGCGCGTTGACCACACGGCCCTCGATGGGCCGGCGGCAGGCCCCACAGATGGGGACACCCATCTTGTCATGGCAGGGCAGGCAGTAGAGCTCGCCCTTCAGCTCACGGGCCTCTGCAGTCAGCTCCTTCCTGGAAAACAGCGTGAAGCCCCCGGGTGACCACCCTGCCCTTCGGTGGTCTGTCGTGCTGGGAGGGTCACCCCAGCCCCTCCAGCGCCAGGGAAGCAGCTTCTCCTGAGACACACCCGCCACCTCCACCCCTCACCAGCTCGGTCCCAGCAGACCACCCGCCTGGGGCAGGCGTGGCTTTCATCTCTGCTCTCTTTGGAGACTTCCTGTGCCCCAGACGGGCCCCGGGGCACAGGATTCCCGCCCGGCCCTTGCAGAAGGCAGCCTGTGTCCGGCACAGATCTGTTCCCCGGGCCTCCGCCCTCCAGACCAGACTGGGCGTCTGGGACCAGCACGAGGGCATGGCTCCGTGGCCTCTCCTTCCTCCCTCATCCGCGCCACCTCGCGCTCACCCTCCGTATCTGGGATTCCCTCCTCTCGGCTTCACCTGCGGAGGTGGGGGGGGGCAGCCCTCCCTCACCCATGAGTCCTCCCGTCGGCCTCCCCTGAGAGGCGTTTCCTACAGCAGTGCCCTCCCGGACCCATTCTACCTGCCCCTGCACCCCACTCTCCGGACGCCCCTCTCTGCCCCCCTGGTGTTCCCCTCCCGCCCCATCACTGCCCCCGGGTGGCCGGCCCACCTCCACCCGGCTCTCCCCCTTCCCGGTCAGCCGGGCCCCGGCTGTGCACCTACCCGCAGTGGGTGCAGCTGAAGTGGTCTGGGTGGTAGGCATCATTCCTGAACATGAGGGGCTGCTCGTCGATGACCAGGTGGCAGCGCTGACAGATGTACTTGCCCAGGCCCTTGGCCTTCTCACGGTTGTGGCATGGTCGGCACAGGTGCCTGTGAGAAGTGAGGTGGCAGTCAGGGGCAGAGCCACTCTTCCTGCCCGGGCAGCCTGGGCCACCTCCCTGGAGAAGACGCCCCCAGCCCCTGCCCGCAGCTTGAACGAACGCCTTCCAGGAAGCCTCGGGGGGCTCAGCTCGGTGGTCCAGAAAAGCAAGCTAACAGTCCTGCGGCCGGGAAGGCCACAGGTGCACCCTCTAAAAGGAGCCTCTGCACGGGGCAAAGACCAGGAGGAAACACAGCAGCATGCCCGTGTTTGGACAGTACGGCAAATGTGGTGTTTTTCTTCTTTACGCTTTTTCTGAGCCTAGGACATCGTGTGTGGACGAGAGCAGACACTTCATGGACATTTGCTGAAAAATTCATTTTGTTTTTCAAATGTCTTTTAACACACACGAGTGACCGTATAGTGACTTTCGTGCCCAGCCCAGGGGCCAAGGAGTGCCAGGCCCGTTGGGCCTGCACGCCTGCTTCCTCAGGGGTCGGCCCGACAAAGAGGAACCCGGACGTCTACAGGCTCTCTCTGTCTCCAAAGACAAGTGCAGCTGTGTCAGATGGAGGCCCCCAGACCCAGGAACTGTCATTACAGAGTCTTTTTTGTAAAGACCTCAGAGTAATTTCTGATGCTACTCCCTCCATTGGGCCACAGCTGCGGTCTCTACCGAGAGAGAGAAATCAACATGGCTTCTGTTTCCTTGGGCCTCAAAGGCGGCAGGAATTTAGATTCAGGGTCCCCGGGCGAAGATGCACAAAGGCCCCAGTGCACTGCTCCCATCCCCCACCTGCCACCCAGTCTGCAAGTGCTCTCAGCATCCGGGCCCTCCTTCCCTCCCTTTCCAGGTCCCCAACCCACTCTCACCAGCCTCCCGGCCACCTGATACCGGTGCGGGCCTCTTTTAGAGGCAGGTCAGGGAGTCCACTTAAGAGAGTAACTCTCAGACTCAGGAACCCCCAAGTAGGTGTGGTGGGCAGACCCTAGGTGCCAGGGCAGCCAACTCCATGCCCTTGACTGCAGTGCCTCCTACCGCATTTGGGTCTGGACTGCCCTGTGCTTGCCCTGAGTGTGTCCTAGCTCCCCGGGGTGAAAGGCAAGGGGCTCAAGGGAGTGCCCAGCAGCCACCTGCTAAGCTGCTGACCAGCTCCCAGCTGTGCTCTTATGGACCCCGTGTGCCCCACACAGGGCAGCAGCTCAGGACAGGTCTTCTGATGCGTAAGTGGGTGAATGATTGTAAAAGACAAGAAGGGAAGGACGGCGGGCGTCATCTCCCCACGACCACGTGGCCACCGAGACTGGAAGGTCGTCTCCTGGCCTGGGACCCCCGGCTCACTCTACTGGCCCAGGGGCCACAGACGTGGCCCGTGGCTACAGTCCCCGTCTCCCTTCCATCCCCAGAGCCCTGAAGCCCAGTGGGCTCTCCCCACCCCACTCTCCCCCAGACACCCCATGCCCCAGCCCCATCCCAGGCCTCCTGCCATGGCGGGGCCACTCCCACGCCTGCCGTCTGCTGAGTCTCTGCCACAGACAGGGCATTTATTCCCTACAACTCCACTCCAATCCTGGTGACTCGTCTTTAGCAGTAGGACAACATGCAACCCATACGGAATGGTTTTTGTTTCAAAGATATAGAAATTAGTGCAACTCCTCAAAATTCTGTCACAACTGTCAGTGCCCCTAAAACCACTGCCATCAGTCACCCGACAGCAGCCAGCCAGACTCCCACATTTCAAGTCACCGTGAGCCAGTTCTCCCAGACAGCCACCCTGGGCCACAGCGGGGAGGGGGGCCGCACACCCCACCAGCTGCCAGGCATGACAGAACTGAGCAGTCCCGCTCTCTTGACGGAACCCCAGACGGGAAACGTCTTTTCAACAGACCTGATCCCAGCGCCAGATCTAAAGGCAACCTGCAGAATTTTTTCCCAGGTAGAATGAAGATGGAACATAAGAATTTTACCACTGAGCTGCAACAGAAGAAGAGAACAAAACACACATGCATACAGCCTGAGTTTTAGAGTGAGACACGCTTGAGTCCAAATGCGGGCTCGGCCACCCCACTGGTTTGTCGTTGGCCAGTTACCTCACCTCTCTGAGCCCCAGTTTCCCCGTCTGTAAAGTGGGCAGTGATCCCAAGTGCACGGGTTTGTGCAAAAGAATTTCAGACAGTACTTGTGGCAGGTGCCTCCCAGGGATGGCTGTGTACATCTTTCAACACTGTAACTAAAAAGGTTTTTGAAGTCTTTTGAAATTAGGAATGGTGATTCGGCTCCCTGTGTTACCGGATGCATCACTTTGGGAAAGACGGGAGAACCAAGCTCTGCTGCATCCGTCACAGGAGCAGCCACTGTCAACATCCAAACACCCCGCAGACTCCCAGACTCCCAGGAGGAGCTGTGGGGCAGGTGGGCGGCGGGCCGCAGCGACCCTCTTCCCAGGCTTCCCGTCCAGAGGAGGAGCCCGCACAGGCGAGGGCCAGGCCTCCGGGTCCCCACAGGCACAGACAGCGCCCCATTATGAGGCAGCCTGCAGCTGGGCCCCACTCGAGATAAAGGCCGCGATTTATTCTGCACACCCAAACGGGGCCCCATTATACGGGGCAGGACACAAGGACCCTAAGCAAGCGTCCTGAAAGAGTCCCCTCTCATTGGACCGAACAAGACTCCTTGGCCTCCCACCCTCCCCATTCACAAGACCCCCTCTGCCGATGGCCAGTGCGGGCTTGGGCGTCCAGGCCCGTTGCCATGGCGGCCAGCCCCTCCCTGGCCCCTTCCCCCCCTCCCAGGAAATTACCCTGATCTGAAACGTCCTGTTGTGTCTGTCGGTCCCAGCCAGGCCTCCCACCCGGACGGCGCCCACTCTGCGGCTTCGAAGACAGTCGCACACTCGGCCTCTGTGCCGCTCAGTGGCCCAGCTGGGGGCGGAGGGTGGGGGGACGGCTGGGACACACTGGAATATTCACGGCCCAGCGGCAGCAGAGATAGCCAGAGGAGTGGCCCACCACACAGGGGACCCCTCAGGAATGAAGCGGCCTTTCAGGGCCCGAGGGGCTGCAGCCTCGCCTCCCCTCCTTAAATAGCCAGCCGGCCTCCACCACAGCTGCGCAGAGCCCACCACCCACCCACAGGCTGCAGCCCACCTGCTGCCCCAGACCCGCCAATAGAGGTAAGGGCAGGGCCTGGCGGGGCGGGCGGGGAGCTCAGGCCCAGCAGAGGCAGAGGCAGAGAAGGGCAGGGACGAGAGCCCAGCCCCAGCCCCAAGACGTCTCTTTGTGGTCCGGCTCCGACCTAGTTATCCAGGCCACCCCGGTCTGAATGACAGCAGCACACAGGCAGTGTTCCTGTCTCCCTGTCGGCGCTTTTAAAGGAAGAGTGAGCGCCCGGCCTGCGGTCCCACGGCTGCAGTGACAGCCCCCGTGCCCCTCACCTTGAGCCAGGCGGCTCCGGGAGGGGCCAGAGGAGGAGTCGGGAGGGAGAGGTGCTGGCGGCCGATGCCCAGGGGGACGGCCACCCCCCCCCCCCCCCCCCCCCCCCCCCCCCCCCCCCCCCCCCCCCCCCCCCCCCC